GCATCAATATGATAGGAAACTTGAATGAAATGGAAGCCCTGCTACCAATATAGTTACCCGAGGGTACTGGTTTAATGATGCGTCGTACTACAATCACGATGACTAAACGATAAAATAAGATTGGGCTTATTATTGTTGACTTTTTATTAAAAATAATACCCGCAATACTAAACATGTTATGGACCCTAAGCAAATGAAGCATACAGTATAAAATTATAGTTAAAGCTGCTTGAATATTCCGAGTGCAAGACAAAGGTCCTTCTGATCAGCTGATGAAAACCTGTTCGCACCGATTTGATCTTTATTTACATGCAAGCTATATTCTCATGAATACTTTATTAGTCTGAGAAAATTGTTGTTTTAAGGCTAAATAAGAGATCAATATGTGCCCTGCCCATTGCAACTTCAGCTTGCTAATCCATCGGGTTATGTCAGCGAATTCAGATGGTTTACGGATCTTTTCACTTCAGATCAGATCAAAAGAACACCAAGCATAGGTCTCTATGCAGCTTTGAGCTTCTTTATAAAACCTATAGTAATTTATTTTTATAAAATAATGGCAGTTGTCAAAACATATTTTAGTTTCCGACTGGTCAGTTGTCAGATCCCACACCACTGATGCGTAACTGCCAGATGATGGGATTCCCGTAATCATGAGCCCTCTCCCACGCGTCTCTATCATTTGTTTGACTAATTATTATTGTTTCATGTGCGAGTAATTGTTTTGTCGTAAATGCCATTCAATTTCCGTTGCGTTGGAAAAATAAACAGCCCGAAATTATGACGTAACATGTCATCGTCATTATTTTTGGTACGTAATTATTCTCAATATTTTTTGCATAATATTTTGAAGGAGATTGTCAGGACATGTTAGTTTTGAATGTGTGAAAAATTTAATGTCATTTTTTTTTAATGTGTCTTAACAACCGTAGTGCAGAAATGTTTATTTTTAAGGTGAAGCTCATCATTAGGTCCATTTTTTTATTTTAGTTAGTAGCTACAACAGTTAAACTAAGTACTAATATTTATACAAGGAAATCTCTTGTACATATTTTTTATTAAATTGCTCAACGGGTGGCAAAACAATTGAAAGATCTCATCAGCGCCAGATAATTCACACAGCATACCATGAGGGTTACAATAACATGTCAAATGACCATGTAATTTGTGGGAAAACAAATGCGTGTGCTAGTAAAAACAATAAAAGGGGTTACATCCCTATCTCAACATTATGATCACGCATTAAAATAATTATGTCGCTTTGTTATTTGTGAACTTTATCGTAACCTACTTAAAACTATTGTGGCATATAAATATTTCAAATATTTTTACGGTGAGTTTCAAATCATTACTCAAGTAGGTAAATGTTTCCCAATCTTCTCTAAGAAATCGATATTAATTTTTGCAAAACTTTCTTGAAATCTCTTGAGATTTTGTAAAGAATTCTATGAAAATAATTGCATAATCTCTATCGTAAAAATCTTATATCTCTAAAAAGATACCATTTCAATCGAAGTGCTATCATGACAATAAACAATCCATAACCGATTGGAATTTGTTCGTTAAAAATAAACAAATTGCGTTTAAGCTCTCGTGGGTGGTAAGATGCATTGTACCCCACAAAGGGCGCAACTTGTCTTATTGTACCCATAACAGCACATCAAGTTAATAACTGTAGAATCTTATACGGTTGTGATAGGGACTGTTTTGCAAGAAATGTATATTCTGATGTGCTGTCGACTGTACCCTTACTAATGCTATAAATTGACTTTTAACAAGTTACTTAACCGCTTTGTGGGTAACATTATACACTCATTTACAGCTATTGAGAAATGTCGCTCGCGATTAACACCCATTCTTGTTAGTGTCAGAATTCTACTTTTGTTACAATCGTTTAATAGTATCATTATCTATTTGTGATGATAAATCGCTCCACTTCTTATTTTGTCGGAGCAATAAGTTGTTCTTGGTTTCATTTTTACAAAGGCTTTAATGTAAATGGGTTGCTTAAAAAGATCGTTCTAACCTAGACTACTTTATAGTCGAGTAGTTACTATTTATTTTACATCAAATTCGTTTACTGTTTGCTAATCTAGTGAGTGGCTTACCTAAAATGCTCTAATTTAGCTTAATTTTCTAGAGGCGAGGAATATTTATTTTACGTATTCATTCGTCAACTGTTTCCAAGTACCTTGCCTTTTATCTATTTTTTTTAGCTTTCTTGCAATAATAAAGCTCATTTTTTAATAACATTTCCGAAATATTTTACCCTTGACTATTTAAACTTGATTTAAAAAGGCTACAAAGTTTGGCTTACTCATCCATTGTTCAACTCCCTACACTATTTTACTGTTTCATTTAACCTACTCCCCTAACCCATAATCCTAACGGGACCAACCCTATCCACCGATAATCATAACAGGAAAAAATATCGGTCATTTATGGAACCCATTAACACCTCCCCGCAGGTCATATCCGGTACAAATCACAGGGTAACCCTTAGATGACGAGGCGAAGTGTACCTCGTTACTATAAAGCTAATTTAAATCTAATATTCGATAAGTGATGTATCTAAAATGCAATAAAGTATCTGAGGGTGAAACATTTATGGGTAAAATAGACAAAAATGGACAGGCTGACTTATCTTTGTCCAAAATGAATCCTTATTTAAATAATTAGACAAGAAGCTGCCTAGTAAGTTTTGTCAAAAAGTAGAATAACAAATCTTATTATTTCATAGAGTAGTAACTACCGATCATAAACATAATTACCGATCATAAACCTTTAAAGGAAAATGTGAACTATTCATGGAGTCCAAAGATCCTTTATAATAAGGTGAAAATTCCAATAAAGTGCTTTCACATAATATTATAATAAATAATACAACCTACTTTCATAAAAAGGGCGAATGTACGAGGACAAAAAGAAATGATAAATATCATACTGTTTAAAGGATTTATTCATGACTATAAATCCGAGGTATGTAGCGAATTTTTATTGAAAATCTCGGTACAAAAAGTGTCACTTCAACACTTACAGAGTTATTATGTGCAATCAACTGGAATTCAACGCGTGATAGTAACACAAACTATTCCTATAGAATATTGTGATAGTCGTAAAGAAATTTTTAAGACATCGCTCGTTTCGATTCAATTAGTAAGGAAAATAAATAAAAATATTTAAATAAATAAAATGGTAGTTATTTGATTCACGCAAGCATTCGATGGAGCCGGCGGCTTTGAGCAGTTCAAAGTATGCAAAGCAGTATATTATTTCTTTTGAGTGTTCCGTACTTTATATTCGTAACTACTTTGTAAAAATCAATTAATCTAAAGTAATATTGAAATACCCTTAATTCTTTTTTATTAAGTAAAATCACTGATAGTTCTGCTAAATATTGACACAGTACTGTTACGATGAAACTACACTGATTTCGTAGTCTATTCGTAGCTGAAAGCTTTTGTCTATGTTTGCTACGACGCGACGCTCTACTGTGATTTGTAACTATACCTACGAATGTGTAGAGCTACTACTACAACGCTTAGATCTCTATACTACGGTATGATATTGTAATGTGTAAAATATTATTTTGTTGTAATGTTCATATATGAAAATATTTTGAATGTTATCATTTAATTCTGCAATTTGCGTAAGTGACCCGCAAATGCAAAATTCGTCTCAAATGTCCACGCAGCTTCGAACGAGCGATCGTTGATCAAATAACCCTGCTGGCTGGGTACATTTACATCACTCTTAATTACCAAATATACAGTTTACTCGTTTTATCGATTGTCGTATCGATCCCTAACATAATCGATATTTAAAAAAATGCAATCGGCGCCTCTTTCTGGATAATTGATTTCGTATCTGAGTAATGTTTGACAACGCCGACTGTCAGAGCGGCGGCCAGGCTAACGCTTGTCCAACCACGTGCATACCATATTACAATCGCTAACCAAAAATCCAACATCATTAACTTTGGAAAGTATAATAATTTTGTACTACGCCTCCGAATTATGCTTGGCACGCTGGACATGGTAGTTAAAATTCTATGTTATCATAAAGGTAAGAAGTAAATAAAAAACAACAACAATTTTAATGGGTGCTCTATGAAAAAATTAAAACCGTTAATAGATGAAGATTAGAAATAGGTTCACGTAATTTACTTGACTAATGAAGGAACTTACTTCGTATGCAAATGTAGGTAGTAAATATTAAAATAGACTTATTGATTTTATTTAGGTCGATAAAGGGAGTAAACTGAAAATAATAATATCACAACTCTTAGGATCTTTTTACAAAAAATAAACACGTCCTTTGTTCTTTATTACAGTCATACCTGTGTAGGAAATATTAAATGTCTGAAATATTTTGAATTCTTCGAATGACTACTTAAGATGTCTTCGTACTACTCAAATTGCAATTAAAGCCTCCAAATTCAAAATTCCCCTATAAAACCAGTAAAGATTCAGATATTATTGTGATCGAGTTTATAATATGTTTCGGAGGATCTGGATTTCATTAATGTAAATATCAACGTATTTTACAGATAAAGATACGATAAACAGTGGTGCGACATTTATCCGCCGGGTTTGACTTGCCTTTATGAGAAATTCTTGACTCGGACACTTATGAGATAACTGGAAGGAGATAACGCTGATGTGGATTCTTAATACGTTTGATTTATTCAAAGTGTTCCGAAATCGATATGGCATTATAATTACACGATACAAGCTCTAATAAACGCTTTTCAATCAGGCTGCAAAAGACAGTACAAAAAAGATTGGCACGTACCTATTTTTGTTGTTACAAAGTATGCAGTGGTCAGTTATAAAAACTAGGCACGCGTTAGCCACCCCCCGCCCGTGCCACGCTGCCCTAACCACTACGCCAGGTACGGACCCGCACGTACAAGGGGAAGGGATGATCGAAAATAATAGGGGAAGAGAATTTTAAAATTTATATTTTTTGCAGCCGGCGCAGGTGATATAACGTGTGCGCGCGCGCCGCCGCCTCACTTGTGCGTGAACCGCCGGTGCCGCCGTCCGCGACCCGTAAGCTCCCGCGAAGCCTCGCACGCGCCAGTGCCGCACCGCTCGCCGCGCGAACCGGTCGTGCGTCATCCCATACACCGCGACCGCGTAAACACGAAACATGTTGCAAGAAATACAACTCGTTCAAGGTCAGACGAACTACGTCGTCGTCTCCTCCGGCTATCCCTCCGCTACCGTAACCAAATCGATGGAGAAGAGGACTGTGCCGATCGCACCTGCTCCTGAAAAGAATTACGTGACACACGACACACCGCCGAACCTGCAGTACAGGAAAAAGGTCCACTTCAGAACCAACCCCTACACCGGACCTCAGGCCGCATCGATCGCGAGGCGCAACGCTCGCGAGCGTAATCGTGTGAAGCAAGTTAACGATGGTTTTAACGCTCTACGCCGTCACCTGCCCGCTTCTGTGGTCGCCGCCCTCTCAGGCGGCGCCAGACGTGGCTCGGGGAAAAAGCTCAGCAAGGTCGACACTTTGAGAATGGTGGTTGAGTACATCAGATATCTCCAGCAATTATTGGAAGAGAGCGATGCAGCTTTGGGCATTACGCGTGACCAGGAAAATAGAGAAAACATCCCCGCCGGTAACACATCGCAAGCTATGACCTCAATGGATATGGACGATGGTTTTTTCTACAATAGCAGTTCTCCCTGTTCTGAGAAGCCAGATTCTCCGGCGCCCTCGGAGTGTTCTTCAGGAGTGTCTTCAGCCTACTCAACAGTCGACCGGTACGAGGTCAACAACCAACAAAACCTCGGGCCGATGGATGAGGACGAGCTTTTAGATGTCATTTCGTGGTGGCAGCAGAAATAACAATAATGTAAGTAATAAATAATTTTTATTTTATTATCCTCATAAAAAATGTTCCAGTTTTTTCCGCTCTGGCTTTTCCACTCCATTTTTTTTGTTTTATTTTTTTTCTGTGACTGGAACGTTCTGATAAGAAAATATTATAGGTATCTTTTGTGCTCTTTCTTTCTTTAAGGTTGATGGAGAAAATCACCTTTCCTTTGTCAAGGCTGTTTACTAATAATTATTTTCTTTTGTCCACAGGTATGGCAGCTTTGACAAGTTGTTTCAAATGGACGAGTCCCTCCGATAAATTGTGCATTATGTATTTGTCCTGCATTTACTGCCAATAAGTACGAAAAGACTCTTGTAAATCTAGTCAAACCAGTAGTGCCTTAAAATAGTTTCTAAGTAATCGAAAGTGGTTGGATCGATATGACAACTCGGTTTGGTGTTACGATTATGTATACTACCGATTGTAGAGCGTAATATTGTTACCTGTAAGACAAGCCTTTTGAGGCTTTGTAATAAATGCATTTGTATTATATAGTTAAATAAAACTTAGTCATAATGGCAGTCAATATTTGTAAATAGTTTTAGATTGTAAGACGTCGCTGAGACAAGAAAATAAATCACCTATTTATTTATAAAAACACATTTTATTTTCCTGCTTTTATAATTTAACTGCTGTACTCAGAAGTTGGCAGTTAAATACTACACTGTGCAACAAAGTAATGTGGTAATTCGCTAGTAGGTACACTTTAACATGCATGCAAATTATTAATGACTGAAGTACTTAGTAAGGTTTCATAATTATGTTTATATTATGGACTTGGTACCTATGTAATTCAATTCAGTAGAAGTAAAACTAAACTTCTTTATACACTAAATTACATTCTCATACACTATAGATTCAAATATTATTATTTAAATACTTCTTTATTAGGATTTTAATGAAGTCATTTCTACTGATTAAAATAAAGCTTTTATCCTTTTTAAATACCTTTTTATTGAATATGTTTTTAAACAAGTAGTGGAAGCTGCACCGAGACATTTTGAATCTGAAGTAAAATGAGGTTAGATTGTAGAAAACCATATTTTCAGAAGAAATAATGAACTTTATAAGTGGTTGATGCAAAAATCTATTTTTCATTTAAAAAATTCAGCTAAAGAATAGGTTCTCATAAGTTAAGATCAACACGATAAAAAAATGCAAACTATAATTAGATTCTAACATCTAATCTCATCAATACAAATTCATAGTTTTAATCCTTTAAGAAAGTAATATAAACTTTACCAAATACATAAAATATTTTGTTACATCTTCGCGAGCATGAAGCACGCACTAGCTTGAAACAGCGCAAAAACGGACTAAATGACGACATTTATCAGACGTTTAGAGGAACACACTGGGTCGCTGAGCGATCGGAATAAGTAAGTAAATATTCATACATAAAAATAGCATTTTACTCCTTGATGAAGCATGGAAATAGAACTTATGAGAAAAAGTTCGAATTCTTGTGCACTGCAGTCTTATAGGACAAAAGGTTTTACAGCTTTTTTTCTATCACAAACTCACCTTTAACTTTTTGCCCATAAAACAACGGAGACGGCAATTTTATTGCCAAATAACTTAAGAATTTTGTCAATCCTGTTATTATTACCCTTTCGGTAATAAATCATCGTTGCCCAGATGTAGGGAATTAGCGTTGTCCGATACGATCGCGAAGAAACGTTTCCCAAAAATAATAAAAAAAATACCTCACACGGGGCCAGTCAGCCATTATTATATGACACGAGGATGAGGGCAGATTCTATTAATTTATAACCAATGTGGGTGGATATACTGACATTATTTTCTTATGGGTCGCGGGACATGACCACGAATAACAGTAATTTTGTGTTGTTTTTATTAAGACGTTGGTTAGCTGAATTAGTGCAACGTTACGTAGATACGAGTATAAGTGCGGTTTAAAAAAACGTAATTATTACGCCACATAATTTGTATCATCACTAACGATTCTGAAAGCGCATTTTCAGTTATTTATGTTTTTTGCAGTGCATATTCAAAAAAAAAATTGTGTAGTAGTTTACAAGCTGGCTTGGCTATACACAGCATAAGGTTTAAGTGCCTGCCTAATAGACAGGTAACTTGATAAAGTCTGATCATCATTAAAATAACAGCTTCATTGCAACTTGACAGGACTGATTAATAAATAAGAATGTGGCATAGAGCTTTACATTTTTGGATACCTATTTAGCAAAGAACACATCTACGAATGGTATATGATTCGGCCGTAATTGTGACTATCGTTCGTTCGTTTCAGCCAAATGACGTCCACTGCTGGACAAAGGCCTCCCCCAAGGTTTTCCACAATGAACGGTCCTGCGCTGCCCGCATCCAGGCTCTTCCCGCGACCTTTACCAGATCGTCGGTCCACCTTGTAGGAGGCCTGCCCACGCTACGTCTTCCAGCCCGTGGTCGCCACTCGAGAACTTTCCTGCCCGAATTGCCTCGAATTGTGACTATAGAATTAGATAAACCTATCTAAACAGCGTGGATGCAGGCCGCTACCAACCGTGCGATGTGGAAGTCATTGGGGGAGGCCTATGTTCAGCAGTGGACGTCCTGTGGCTGAAATGATGATGATGATGATGATGATCTAAACAAATCGTTATTCTTTTGTGTAAAAGGATGTTTTTCCTTTAATTTATATATCCACTTAAATTATATCCGTTAAGACTGGTGTAGGTCTCTGACAAATGCACTCCCGTGGGTTGACGTGAGAGCCTTCCTAGATTCAAAAAAATTTATTGTTTTGATAAAAAATGACATGCCACGAAACATCTGATAATAGGCGTAGGCGGGGCCGCAACAAAGGAGAATTGGTTAACACCACAATAACAATACAATAAGTTTTGATTCGGGTGTAAAATTAAGTTTTCAAATTCGGCCCTCTTTTGTTTGTTCGCTTGTTCGTTTTTTCATGTCACACCTCCTCGACAATGCCATTGTATAATGTTTGTTTAACAAACGATCGGGATGTCAGGGAAATTACTATTTTCGGGAGGTGATTCTATCAAAGCAAATGTAATCGTGTTTAATTTGCTAAACGCCATCGAATTGGAAGTTAAAAAATAATTTTGTAACAAAAAGAGATGAGGGAGATGCCAGACATGGTCTTTAATGTTGCCAAAAAGATAATATAAGAAATAGACAATTATGTATTTCTATGTTCCAAAAGTACTACAGACATAATAAGAAGACGACTATAGCTCTACACATAAAGGTGTCTCAATTAAAACGCTACAATCTACGTTACTCATTGATGCTAGTTTTTTAGTAGTCGATGCATCTATGAATTATAGATTAATCATTAATCAAGAGTATGCATATCTCGAGACTTCCTGCCCGGTCTCATAAAGACTGCTTTTAGGCGTTTTATCTTGCTAACGATGTTTTACGATGTACCTTCATTCCGCGTTATCGCACCCTGTCGCCTACGGTAGCTAATGCACATTTTAGACAGACAACTAAATTGCCCACCTACCCCTTATTACGTTCCCCATAAGGTTGAGTCTAGTGTTAAATTTTTAGTGACTAAAGCGTAGTAGCTTTTACCATGGGCAGAACTTCGCCGCCTCTCATATCGGGCACCTAGTTAATTAATTGACGGATTGCGGTAGCCGCCCTGATTAGAACTCTTTTTGTGCAACACTCCAACTCTTTTGTAGTTATCTCGGAGATAGAGGTGAAATGAGCTGTTACGTAATAAAGAAATGAGACAAACGGCCCGTAAAATTTTAAGACTTGAGAAACTTAGTTAACAGTTAATTGATATTGTTGAAAAAGCATTTTAGGGGTGATAGAGTCAAGATAGAGAGCTTTTAACGGTATTCGACGGCTTTTCTTTATAAACACCATTCACATACAAATAATTAGTATGACATAGGGACGAAATCAAAATTAAAGCAATTTAAAATTTACAAAGGATGTGATTTATTATATAAACTCCAAAACTTAAACGACACGTCTTTTAGGCAGTTAAACTAAAGGCTTCACAGACAGCTCATATGCCGCACCAAAGGCCATATTTTTATTAGTCAATTAACACCAACACAAAAAACAAAAGACGACGAAATAGTAACTATCCTAAACAGCTATAGCAGGATCCTCATCAGCTCGTTTTGGCTTATTATCTCGTTCGACACTCGCTCTAAATAATAATCCAATTGAATTCGGGGCCGAGAACAAAAGCCGGCAACACGGCTGTCGACCGCATTAACGCCCAGCACAATAAATCCAGGAGGTCGGTTGCCACGGGGCTAATTACTCTGAATATCGGTTGATATACTGTCTACTTAGCCCCAGTGATGTATGGCCGAAGTCAAAGGATTCGACGCCGCGGCCTCAGGCCCCACGATTATAAATAAGCATGTTTAGGATAACCATTGCCGCTCATAGACGTTCCCCGCGTTGAGTGATTCCAAATGCCTATGATTTACTACCACAGAAACCACCTTTGCTTTAGTAACAACATGCCACCCACGGTCACAGTAATGCAAGTACGAGCCTGTTTAACTATGCGTAATTATGCTATGTTATATGGAGGAAAAATATAGGCCACTTGTCGGGGTGGTTAGTGTTACCAGCTATAAAGCTTTCTATCCATTTAATGGCAGGTTCTGACTTAGATTATACGTTGTAGTAAAGCTATAATTCTGTTAAATAAACATTAATAGTAGCTAGTAAGTAGTAATATTCTCCACAGGCAAGCAAACTCTTTAATGACTTTGTGCCTACGTAAGTGTAAAATAATTTCTTTCGAATCGACATCAAGTAAGACGTCCCGATCTCATTGTACGCAGGTGACAAAAGACGATCTAGATTAGTGACGCGCATTGTGTCGCCAAAGGGTTGCATTGTGCGTACGCGCATTGTGCTCTACCCGCAAACAACTCGATGCCGAATTCGTATGAATTCTATGAATTTGCAAAGAAAATAAATAATATTCCCATTGACAGTGGATCAATCGTGATTCGACAATTTTTGATATTACATTCTGTCTTTGTGTATAAAAAATACTTCAAGTAAAGGCAATTTGTAACATTAATCAATAGCTTTTTTTACATTTTTGACCTAGAGTGTAGATAATAAATGAACCGTCTACAATATATCATGAGTGTTTATATTCGCTTTGTCAAAGGGAAAATATCAATTTTATCAAGATTAAGCCATAAAATGTCTTTCCGACACTTAAATTTATTTATTACATTATAATAATTCAAGTATTTCGTTGAAGCGACCGACAAATGTAGGGAGCGAAAGTCAGTGTCACGCGATAATGTGGGAGCCTCCTAAAGGGCAATCATTTTCCTTCTTATTTGTTTTGTTGCTTAAAAATAGTCATGGGTTAATTATTCTCTATTTTATTTTGTATCATACATACACCTTTTACGATACAAAAATATCTGATGAGTCATAGGTTGACGAAATAGTTTTTTTTTATTTTGTCGCAAAAACTGCATTTTGCTAAACATTAAAATGGTTCATAGGAAAAAAAATTCGCTGGCAAGAAATAAAATTAATTAGGCTTCCACGCACTTCACAGGGTACACAAGGATTTACCTACGAACATATCTAACGC